GCTGTGTGCAAGGCTCGAGTTCATGTTCAGAAGCAGAAATCCACACAGAATAGAGTTCAACTTAAAACAAGCTTTATTGCTCCCAGGTGAGGTTCACTGGTGTGGTATAGACAGCTGACCAGGGAAGTCGCGCCAGTCGCCGTGAGGGGCTCTAAAGGTGTGGGGGTTGAGGGATGAAGGAGTGTGCCTTCAATGGTGCTAGAGCGTTATAGGCTCTGTCTGACCTTGGTGAATCAGGGCTGGCCGGGGAGGGAGTCGCCTTCTCCCTGTGCGGCTGCTCAGCCTCGGCCGCCCCGACCCACCCAGCTGGCCCTTACGCCTTGGATTGTTTTTGAGTGTTTGGTGTTGTTTCCTGCCTGACCTTCACTTGAGCTGATGGTTCTGGGTTTTCTGATTGTGAAGTTAAGATGATGTAATGAGAGAGTTATGTGAGATGTTTGGGTGTTTTGAAACTTGGGACATTTCCTCTAGCACATTCTTTTGTGTTTCGTCGGACTGCAGAAATAACCAGAGACTCCTTGGCTGGGTGAGGGAAATATTTGTGTCAATTTTCAAGAGAAAAATCATGGGTTGTTGGCTTGCAGGGAGCTAAGAGGTCAAGTAATTGTAGATGGCCACGCCTCCTGGGTTTTCTTTTTCTCTTTACTTCTCTCATGGGGCTAAGATGTATTGTTAGGACTTTGCGAAAATGGTTTTCTATTTTCTGAGAAATGAGTTTTGCTGTGTTCTGAAAGTAAGATGGAATGTGGCCTTTCCCTCGCTACCAAAAAGTAGCGTTCTGCTTGATGAGCCCCTCCAGTCTTCAGTCCAAACAAGAAAGAGTAATTTTTTAAAAGATTTCTTTTATTCGAAAATCAGATATACATAGAGGAGGAACGACAGAGCTTCCGTTCGATGGTTCTCTCCCCAAGCAGCCACAATGGCTGGAGCTGTGGCAACCCAAAACCAGGAGCCAGGAGCCTTTTCCGGGTCTCCCACGCGGGTGCAGAGTCCCAAGGCCCTGAACCATCCTTGACTGCTGTCCCAGGCCACAAGCAGGGAGCTGGATGGGAAGTGGAGCTGCCAAGATTAGAACCGGCACACATATGGGATCCCAGTGTGCTCAAAATGAGGACTTTAGCTGCTAGGCTACCGCACTGGGTCCGAGAAAGAGTAATTTGAAAAATACAGGTTGTAGCATTCATTAAAGGAAACTTGGCAAAAGCACATCCCCAAACATGGGGACCGAGGGGAAAGCAATGTTTATGACAAAACCATTGCTAATGTGCAGGATCCAGTTTCATGAAAATTGGTTTCCCTTTTCTGGGACATTTTGGCAAAACATCTACTTTCCTCCCCGTCTAGCAATATCACCAAAACATTGTTCTGTGATTGATACCTAGTTGTTCTAAAAATCACAATGACTGAAAAGGCTCTGGGGCTGTGGCCTGCCATGCCAGATTCCTATCTGAGCCCTGCTCAGGTCCTGGCTGCTCACTAATGCTCCCGGGAAAGCAGCGGATGATGTGCCAAGCACTGGGGCTCCGTCCACTCACCCAGATGGGGTTCCTGGCTTCCGGCTGTGAGTGGCATCCACTTGGCTCAGCCCCTGTAGTTGAGGCCATATGGGGAGTAAAGCAGCTGGAGGTCTGTCTCTCTCTCCTCCCCCTCTTCAGGTAAATAAATAATTCTTGATAAATAAAAGTCTAGGCTCTGACACCAAAATGCCTGAGTTTACATCATTTATGGGTTCTGTGTCTCGGCAGTCACTTCACTCCCCTCTGCCTCTTTCATCTCTAAAATGAATATAATAGTAGTCAACTTGCAAGTTATATGTTTATCTAAAAGACTTAGTAAGTGGTGTTTATGATCACTGAAATGTCGATTTTACTAACATTAGTATATGTATAAGGGTAATTTAAAAAGTTCATGAAAAATAGAATTGGAAGCATAGATTGTCATAAAAATAAAATCCCATGTATGGTTTTTTTTAGTAATATGCATTTTTCAAATATTATGGAACACTTTTAAAACTCCAAACTCATACTTTGAATTCAGTTTTCCATTAACTGTTTGAAGTACTATCATATGTAGTAGAAATGAGCATGAAACATAGAAAATCAAAAGTCAAAACTACCCATTGCCCAAAGAAAGCCACTTATCCAGTGGTGAGGATTTTGGTTCTTTTTCTTTTTTTAATTATTATTATTATTTTTTTTATTGGAAAGGCAGATATACAGAGAGGAGAGACAGAGAGGAAGATATTTTTCTTTTTTCTAATTGCATTTTCTCATTCACAGTTGTGAGGATACTTTATTTTTTATTTGAATGCTGGTTATAGCAGTTTATATCTTGTTTTTAAAAATATTTATTTATTTTTATTGCAGTCAGATATACAGAGAGGAAGAACTTCCGACTGATGATTCACTGCCTAAGTGGTCGCAAAGGCTGGAGCTGAGCCAATTTGAAGCCAAGAGCCTCTTCCCAGTCTCCCACAGGGATGCAGGGTCCCAAAGCTTTCCCAGACCATAAGCAGGGAGCTGGATGGGAATTGGGGCTACTGGGATTGGAACTGGCACCCATATGGGATTCCCAGTGCATGCAAGGCGAGGACTTTTAGCCACTAGGCTACCACGCCAGGTCCTATATAATTTTTTTAAAAAGATTATTTTTAATTGGAAAGTTAGATTTACAGAGAGAGAGAGAGACAAAGATCTTCCATCCACTGGTTTACTCCTCAAGTGGCCCCCATGTCCAGAGCTAAAATGATCCGAAGCCAGGAGCCAGGAGCTTCTTCCAGGTCTCCCATGCAGGTGCAGGGCCCCAAGGCTTTGGCCTGTCTTTGGCTATTTTCCCAGGTCGCAGACAGGGAGCTGAAAGGGAAGTGGAGCAGCTGGGATACAAACTGGTGTCCATATGGGATCCTGGCACGTGCAAGGCTAGGACTTTAGCTACTAGGCTACTGTGTTGGGCCCAATTTATATTCATTTGTAAATGAAATTTCATGAGTCAGTGATTTAAGCTTTCCCAGTGCTTTGACATTCTGACCTTACTCCACGACTCATCCCCTCCTCCCATATTCTATTAATGTGATCATAGATTTACCTTAGCCAAAACAGTCTGCAACTTGGACCTTCCCTGGGCAGTGTGGAACCTGTAGTTCTTTATTGTGTTCCTAGAAAGTAGTTAGGTGTAATCCACAACCCAGTTAACTGAGGACTGGCCCTAAAACACGTATGTGAGAAATATCTCTGTAATAGTTTTCATCTTCAGTATTAAAGGTTATTTTCTTGGACTAGATTCCTCAAAATGGAAGTGCAGGCTGAAAAAACTGTACATGTGGCACTGTTTTGAACACGTGTGAGCTGGCTCCATTCTTTTTGGGCTTCCACATTTTCCCTCTCCAGTTCTGGGTTGCTTCGGAGATCTGAAATACTGAGATGCCCAAACTCCGGAATAGAGTCAGACTTCGTTAGAAGGACAGCTCCTGCCTACTCCTTGCCAGTCCCATCAATTTCCCCTTCTCTAGGACCTCTCCCTTTCTTGGTCCTCTTTCCTCTCTCAGCTTTCTCTAATCCCCTGATGAAGCTTTTCTTTTCTCCAGTTGGGTGTGGCATGAGGGGGCATATTATGATAAAGTCTTCATTACAGCTAGTGACAGAGAATGGCATTGTGGTTCCGTGGGTTAAGCCTCCAGTCCACAATGCTGGCATTCTATATGAGTGCTGGTTCCAGTCCTGGATGCGCCACTTCCAAACAAGCTCCGTGTTTAATGCACCTGGGAAAGCAGTAGAAGATGATCCAAGTACTTGGGAGCCCTATACTCATTTGGGAGACCCAGACGGAGCTCCTGGATTCAAGCTTCGGCCTGGCCCATTGTGTCCCATTTGGGGAGTGACAGCATTAGCATACGAGTTTCTCTCTCTCTCTCTTTCTCTAATTCTTGCTTTAAAGTAAATAAATAAATCTTTAGAAAAAAGCCGGAGAGTCAGATTAAGATTAAAGAAGGAGTTAGTGACCATAATAGCTGGAGTTGTTAGTCTCTGTTTTTTAGTTAGTCCATTTTTTAAATGCCAGTTCTTGGAGGGGCAAGTGCTGAACCCAGAGGAGTGAAGATGGTGATAACACTTGAGGCAATGTAACGCTCAAGCAGAGATCTTGAGTGTGGGCCTTCCAGGTGGATATCCTAGGTGGGTAACCTAGGTGTGCTGGAGCTCTATCTGCTCAGGGTAGCATCACATTTTCCTAAAGCTCAGGTACATCTCAGGGGGAGTATTAAGGAGAAATTGTTGACTGAAGTACACATGATAAATGGCTCAGCTGCAGCATGTGCAAGTTCTTTCCATGGAATACAGCTTTATGATACCAGGCAGAAATCCTTTTATGGTTTTTTAAGAATCACACGGTTGAAATTGCTTGAGGCGTGGAGGGTCTTTGCTCACTTGTCTGTCGCCAGTGATTTGCTTCTATCGTCTGTCCCTGGGAAGATGAAACCAGACAGTCTCTGAGCGGAGACTGAGGTCCCAATGAGCACAGTTGGAACTCTGGGTTTCTGGCTGGAAACCAAGTCTCAGGTGCCCTAGATGGCATCCTCTGATAGTGGATATACAGTTTAATACACCGAAAACTGAAGAAAGAGTGGAAGAGCGTGCCGGAGAGGAGTCTGGGTGATAGCTGGGTATGACTAGATGGTCCCCTCGTTTCAGACCTGGGTGAGGACAGGTGCAAACAGAGGAAAGACTTAAAGGACAGGGACTCCTGTTCCAAACAAAATCTGAGATGCCCTGAAAGGAGCAGGAAGGGGAGATACAGAAGCTTGGCTAATTGCAGGCTGGGAATCTAGTCTTCTCAGAGGATCTTGAGGCCCTAAGCCAGGCACAGAGGTGGTGTTGAGAGGTGGTGGTGGTGGGTGGAAGCTTGAGCTGGCCAGATGCCAGCGACCCCAACTTTTGGAAAGAAAATGCTTTGATCTCCTGGTGGTCTCTGCTGTGGCATTCAAGCCCTTGCATGTTCCCTTCCAGCCGGATCCAGCCTGAAGATGACGTCACTCGTCTCGGCGGTGTCTGGGCCCCACGCACGGCTCTTTTCCTGCCTCCTCAGACTCGGCCCGCAGCAGGTTGGCTCACGTCAGCTGCACAAGGGGACCAGCTGTGCAGCTGCCAAGAGCTACTATGAGGTGCTGGTGCTGGGTGGGGGCAGCGGAGGGATCACCATGGCTGCCCGCATGAAAAGGAGAGTGGGTGCGGAGAACGTGGCCATTGTCGAGCCTAGTGAGGTAAGTCCCCTCTGGAGTCCAGGGGTGCCTGTGTCCCAGGGGTTGGGGTGGTTGTGATTGTTGGTCAGGGAGAACAGGTCTTTTGGATTTTGGTGTTGTCTGCTGTGGGTTTTTTTTTTTTTTTTTTGCGGGGTGATTGCAAACTGGATGACTTCAAACAGCAGACAGATATTCTCACAGATCTAGGGGCTACAAGCCACTTGCCCAACTACTGGCAGGGCCATGGTCGTTGTGAGGTCAAGGAGGGGAAATGGGCTGGGGACTTTGTCCTAAACCCCTTTCCTGGCTTCTGGTGGTCACCAGCGATCCTTGGCTTACAATTCCTTTACTCCATTCTCTGCCTCCATCCTCACTAAGTGTTCTCTCTGTTTCTGTGTCCATGGCTTTCTTGCTAGAACACTGGCCATTAGATTACAGAACACTGTTGGACTATGACCTCACCTTAACTCAGTTACATCAGCAAGGTGGCCAGGGTCAGAATTTCACTGTACCTTTTGGCAGACATATTGAACTTCAAACACACCTTCCATCCCCAACCTTCTGTCCAGAGGAAAAGTAATGGCTGTTGCAATTTCCCCACTCTGTTCCAGTTTAGAGAAGGAATGATGAGCTTGCGGGGCAGGGAGGCCTCCGGAAAGCAGCCAGTAGGTTTGAGAAGCCTAAATGTGAGGGGATTATCAGACTACAAGGGGAAAACTGTGATTGATAACATGAGAGAAGAGTAAGTTGTCTGTATCTGTGTTCATAATGTATCTGTAAACTATTTCATGAAAAACAGTTTAGGACTTAGCAAAAACTTTGGAGAAAAAATTTAACATTTTGGGAGATTTGTTCAATATTCCCACAAGAGTGATGTAGGCACCAAAGAACTATATCTTTGGGAGTAAAGCAAAATGGATCTGGTGTCTGTTTGGATGAAGGGTAGGATGAGAAAGACACACTCGTTTTCCAGATATCTCCTTGGGCGCAGGGGAGTGGGGCGGAGGGCAATGAGGCTACCCATGGCGGTATGACTGGGATCTGAGAGGAGTCCAGGGGCACGGTCCTTCACTTCCCTTTTTATTTTATTATTATTTTTAGAGATCCTATTAATTTATTTGAAAGACAGAATTACAAGGAGAGAGAGAAAGATTGAGATTTTCATCACCACCTAAATGGCCTGGGCTAGGTCTCCCACATAAGTGGCTGGGACTCAAGCACCTGGGCCATCCTCCGTCTGCCACTTTATCATGGCACAAGGAGACAGCCCAACTGCAAATGAAGCATCCAGAACTTCAACCAGGTCCCATGTAGGATACCAACACTAGAGGCAGGGGGCTCAACCAGCACTGACCCTGGTCATTTTACTTTTTATTTTCTCTTTTAAGGTTTTATTATTTTTATTTGAAAGTCAGAGTTGCAGAAAGAGAAAGAGAAATCTTCATTCACTGGTTCATTCCCCATATGGCTGTAACAGAGTTGAGCCAATCCAAAACCAGCATCCAGGAGTTTCTTTGGTGTCTTCCATGGGTGTACAGGGGCCCAAGGGCCTGACCTATTCTCTGTGCTTTCCCAGGGCATAAGCAGGGAGCTGGAGTTGAAGTGCAGCAGCTGGTGCTCAACCAGCACACACAGGGATGCCAATGCTGCAGGTGGTGGCTTAGCCTACCATAGACCCACCATAGAGCTGGTCCCAAGATTACTTTCCTTTTAAAGTGACTTCTCTGGGCTTGGCACAGTAACCTTGTGGCTAAGTCCTTGTGTCGCATATGCTGGGATTCCATATGGGCACTGGTTCATGCCCCAGCTGCTCCACTTCCCATCCAGCTCCTGCTAGTGGCCTAGAAAAGCAGTTGAGGATGATCCAAAGCCTTGGGACCCTGAACCAACGTAGGAGTCTCAGAAGAAGCTCCTGGCTCCTGACTTCAGATCGGCTCAGCTCTGGCTGTTGTGGCCACTTGAGGAGTGAACCAGCAGGTAGAAGATCTTTCTCTCTTTCTCCTTCTCTCTGTATATCTGACTTTCCAATAAAAAAAATCCTTTAAAATGACTTCTCTTTAGTTCAGGGATACTACTTTAGTTGCCTGTCTAAAGTTTAATACAATTGAATGTTATATGTATATATTTATTTCAAAGATACAATTAGGGAGGGAGATTGTCTTCTATTGATGGTTTACTCCCCAGATATCCTCAGTGGTTAACTCTGATCCAATCGGAAGCCAGGACCTAGGACCCCATCTGGATCCCCCACATGGGTGCAGGGGACCAAACTTTTGGACCACCTTCCTCTCCTTTCTCAGCTGCACTAGCAGGGAGCTGGATCAGAAAAGGAGCTGCTGAGACTTGAATCTGTGCTTCAATATGGGATGTCAATGTTGCAGGCAGTATTTTAACCCACTGTGCCACAAGGTTGGCCTCAGAGACCTATTTCAATGACAAGGGCCTGAGATGGTCCTTCTCCCTGGAATATAATACCGTTGCTAATCCACGGGAAGGTCCTAGTGGAACCTCTCTTTGTGATGAGACAGAACCTTCTGAACACTGCATTCAGTTCAGGAGACACCATATTCTGCCTGGGCAGGAAGAGCCAGACAGAAGTCTTTCTAAGGAACTTCCAGTGGCTCAGGCTTTTGGCATGTTCCTTACTGTGTCTGGCTTTGCAATTGCTAGAGCTGATGTTCATTGTCTCAGACCAAATCTGAGCTTACATTCGTGTTGAAGATGGATTTGATGCACTCGCCTAACTGCAGCCCCCTTCCTCTTGGATCCCATCCATTAATGGTGGTAAGGAGGCTGCAAAGCCCATTAGCACGTTCCTGGTGTCTTCACCTCTCTCTGGGTCTCGGACGTTCTGGCCAGCCAGTTTGGGGCATTTGGGCCAAATCAATAGCTCATGATTGCCTGGCCTACTCTGATTTAGAAAGGAAATCTTAAGACACTGTTAAACCTTCACCCTTGAGTCTAGAACTTCTACAGCTAACTACTAGTAAGAGTAGACCATCTGGAGCAGAATTCCAGAAAATGGCAGAGGGTTGAGCTTGTGCTACCTTGTAGAGTAGTGCTGGGAACACAGTGGAAGCTGATGGAGTTTTCTGGATCATTGTCATATATTTCTGAGGGAATACATTTATGTTGCTGGGTCTAAATTTTCTTTATATCTGTGTACATAAAGGTGTCCATAATGTATGTATGTATGTTTGGGTAACATATATAGCAGTAGATAGTGAAATAATCTCTAAAAGTAGTTTGTAGCTCTTTTGGTGATTGTTGAGTAACTGTCTTTTAGAGCTTATCACAATAGGAGACATCAACGGGGGGACCAGCTCTCTGGGAACTTGCAAACTTGCTCTAGGGGTAGCAGGGAGCGATAGATTCTAGCTCATGTACTGTTTGCGGCCAAATTGAAATGAGTCTCCAAATACAATGTTTTTCAGAGACATTTCTACCAGCCACTCTGGACTCTGGTAGGTGCTGGTGCCAAACAGATGTCCTCATCGTACCGTCCCACAGCAAGTGTGATTCCATCTGGTGTGGAATGGATTAAAGCTAAAGTGGTTGGATTGAACCCTGACAAGAACTGCATCCAAACAGACAATGGCAAGGAGGTAACCAGGGGACATTTGAAATTTTTGTTTTATTAATTTGTTCATATTAATAAATAACCATTCTCAGACTGGATGACTTTAGGGTTAAACAGCAGTGTGTATGTGTATGTGTGTGTACATATGTGTTGAATACTGCATGATGGCAAGGGATGTGGTAGAGTATACAGGAAAGACTGAATGATGTCAAATCAACACACAACTACAATATTTGTTGACATCTGCTGTGTACCCTATTGTTTAGTACAGTGTCTTGTATGTGAATGTTTGTTCAACGAATGATACTGCTTTATGTTACAAAGGTAGGCATCTCTTTCTCTTCCCATTGAAGTAGTCATTCCCCACACCCCCTTTTGTATCCTTCTGTTTTTTTTTTTTTCCCTTAAATTTTTTCCATTTATTTCTGACACACTTGGCTTCCCAGAGAACTGGGCTACTGAAAAATATCCACCCCAATCACATCAGGGGGCGCTCTGCTAGAACAGTGAGGGAATCCTGTAACTTCCAGGATTATGGCATACAAAGGCATGGAGGATTGATGCTACCAGACAGTGAGACTCAGAATTTCTCAGCACGTTTGGAAGTCTCCTCGCCCTGCCACCCAAGGATCAAAGTTTTTCAGTTCCATGGTGAAGTGACAGTTATAATAATAGCCACTTTACCAGGTTGCTGTGTTAATTGAATGAAAACATAAAAAAGCACTTAAAAAAATAAATCACACAGTGACTTATTAAGAAATGTCATTTTTAAAGCAATGCATGAAATAAAAGGAAAGGCAGATATTTATTGGATGGCCACTATGGGCCAGAATGTATTTTCTGTAGACTAGTATTGGTACTCTTTGTTATGTTAGTATGAAATATCTATTTGTAGGTGAGCCTAGAATTCTTAAGAGGATTAACAGCCTGTTTGCTAAGTTGTTTGTGTCAGATTCCCTCCATTCCCAACTTTATAAGAAAATGGTTGCCATTTCCTGTCTTCTGGAGTAGCCTGCATTGCTCTCTGTGACTGCTCAGAAGTCTTGTTTGTCTACAAGTTTTTGCAATTTCTTAGGATTTAAATTACCTGGCCTGGAAACTTAAACTCATTCAAAAGGTTTGAGGCTTTCTACTTTCTCTTTTATACAAAAGTTTGTCCCTAGTCTTTAGGCATTATCATTGTTATGTACTAATAAAACCACCAAGGCATAGTGTTTCTTATTGACATTCACCCATGTTACCTGTAGACCACTCCTTTACTTTCACTTTACATGCCCTGATGACTCAACATGGTTCAATTAGACATTATTAGGTCCAGCTTCCTACAGAACAAAGAATTCCAGATGATACATGTGTCATATATCCATTTTGATAAGCTGCAGTTTTCACAGTCAACTGAAGTCATCCCTCCATCCATCTAACAAATATTACTGAGTTCCTCATTTTAATGTAGTTACTGCTAGATTCTAGGAGTATGAGGAAGAAGACATAAACTTTACCCTCTGTATACTATAACAAATGCTATAAAGCATGGTGCATTATTGGGCTATGGGAGGGGCCCGTGGCAAGGGTGACTGAGTCCTAGAAGGCCTACTGTGGTGACGTGGAGCTCAGTTTCCGGGGCTGCAGGGAAACAGCTGGAATCCAGTGCTGTTTCTCCTCACCTGGGACTTGCTCAATTTGCTTCTCCACTTGGTACCATGCTGTGATCATGTGTTTCCCTCAGCTGGGCTTCTGGGTTTCATTGGAATAATTCTCTCCCTCCAGTTTCCTAGGCGAGTTCTTGTACTTAACACACTTGCTTCTGGCCTACACCTGGCCTCAGCTTGTCTCCCTCCTGGTGCTAAACCCATATTTTATGTATGACATTTGAGGGTTCTTTTGTCTTCATCATAGACATTAGTATTTACATCTGAAGAGAGAGGGATTTCTCACTCCTTACAATGTATTAGGTAAGATCAGGTACAAGTAACCACTCCTTTTCCAATGACCCCGTAAGAATCATTTCCCAACAATGATATTGGTCCAAAAGCCATAGCTTTTCAAGTTGGATTCTGAAGATTGAAGTCTGTTCTCCCATCTTTCTATGTGAAAAAGTCTTAATATGAGAACTGCATGAATAATTGTGTCATCTTTGTTATTCTCCGTTACGTAAAATCATTGGAGTTTGAGGCATGCAGTGGCAAGTCAGCCGGGTGACATGGTATTTGTGGAGCGTGCAGTTGAGGGCAATAAGGATAAAGGGGGACAGAATGGAGAACTGGAGCGTTCATTCCCACATGCCTGCCCTGCCCTGCAACCTCCAGCCTCTGCCCCAAGACATTCACATTAAAATATGGAAACATGTTGCTGAATTGGCCCTTGGACTACTGCTTTTTGATTCCTGGTGTAAAATAACATCTTTTTTGTGTTGCAGATCTCCTATAAATATCTTATCATTGCTCTTGGAATCCAGCTGGACTATGAGAAGGTATTCTTTTAAATGATTTCTGTGTTTTATTGACCTATTTATGTCAAGATCAAACACTGTATTTCACTGGCTTATGTTTATTTCGACAAGAAAGAGGTTCTAAGAAATCCTCTTCTAGTTTTACTTCTCAGGGATCCTTTTATAGTTTGAAAATGTGTTGTGTTAGCTTTTGTCCAGGATAATGATATGATCTAGCCTTAAGCTTCATCAGAATTTATCAAGTTTGAGCCCTGATGGTAATTCTTGCAAAACAGCAGCCTCTTCCACACTTAGTAGAAGCTTACCATTCTATGTGGGACTGAGTTATATGCATTAAAGATGAATTTTTCCTTTGGAATTAAGATTGGTTATTATTTGTTTTTGATTGTTTGAGAGACAAGAGACATACAGATAAAGACTCTTGTTTCCTGGTGGATTCAAATGCATGTGATTCTGGGACTTGGCTAGGCTCAGGCTATGGTTTGGGAGCTCATGTCTCCCATATGGGTGGCAGGACCCCGACTTGTGCAGACGTTGTTGCTGCCTCTCACAGTCTGTGTTAGCAGGCAGCTGGAGTTAGGAGTGAGCCAAGTGTTGAACTCAGGCACTCTGACATGGGATGTAGGTCTCCTACTTGATGTTGATGTGTCAATCTGTGGATTTTGAATTTTTAAGTAGAATTGAAGGGTGAGCATCAGTTGCTTGTTCATTAAACCCTAGAAGGTGGCCTGGTATTTGCAGCTTAGCCTCTGGAGATGGTGTTTCTGGGGTGTCCCTTCCAGCGCTGAGGGGTGCTTCCCACTCATGGACTCCTATCCTGTGGTGGGCCGGTGTGGAGACAACAAGGGGGTGTGTCTTTGTGTGCAGGAAGGGCAGGTACTCTCAGCAGGTTGAAGGTGGAAATAAAAACCTGTATGACCAGAAAAAAAAAGTGATCATGTAATGTAAAGACTGTATGTTCTTTAGAGCTCCCTTTTCAGAGAAGTGGGGAGCCAGAAACCATTGGATGTTGTGAGATTCAAATTTAGTTTTCTAAAATGTAATGGGGTAAATCAGTAATTATTGTGATACCTTGAGAGCTTGTTGAAGACTGGATAAGCAGTGGGAGCACAGAAAGTTTGGTGTCGGCCAGGTCACAGGGGCAGGAATATGATTCAGGTAAGGACCTTGTCAGATTTGTAAAACACCTGAGTTGCAACATGTCCATCATGAGGGTTGTGGGAATGTCCTGGGGTGTGTTGTGTGAAGGTTCAGAGAAGCCAGGAATTGGGGCGAATGCTGTGAATTGACTCTGAGTCATGGCACCATGGAGTCATGGCTCTCATACAGTTGCACATTGGCTGTGGCATAGGAAGGTGTCAGTTACAACTACTGTGGGGAGATTTGTGAACATTATGGTGTTGACTTAGTAAATGCATTACAAGTCCAGAGTGCTATGTCCCTAGTAACTCCTGAGTGTACGAGCATGAAGAAATCAGCACTGAGAGCTCTTAGCAGCCTCTTGCAGCAAACCCAGAAACTATCATATGTAAAAGCAGTGGTTGTGAAATCTGCTGTATACCGAGAACCATACTAGGTGTCTCATTGGTTCTTTATAGCTACTTAATAGGTGAGGACTAGGGGTATGAGAATTCGAATAGTGGCTACTGCATTATCTGGGACTATTTGATTGCAGATACTAGAAAACTGCTCGAGTTAGTGTAAACAAAAAAGTGGGGATCATTTGAAAAAAAATATTAAAAAACCTTTCTGGACCGCTAGGGCAGGAATGTAGATGGGGTCTGGCAAGTCTGGATCTCCAAGCTAGGCTCTGCTGGGCTCAGGAGACTCTCTGCTTCTTTTTCATTCCAGCTTCAGTGTGGCACGCTGTTTGATGGTTTGCTCTGTGGGCTGGGACAGACCCTAGTGCCCCAGCCCACATCCTGTTACAGTGTGGCCCTAGGAGGGCAGTCCTATCTCATGCCTTTCCTGACTCTCTTTCCTGTTTCATTCCTCTCTGTGTCTGTCTGATTCAAAGTGCCAGGGAAGCAACTGCGGTGGATGGAATCAAAGACCTCCTTCATGACACTGTCTTCTTCAGGTTAGAGACAAATAACGAAGGTGATCCAAGATTAACTGTCTGTTTATCTCCCAGATAGTGATTTTTGCTTTGGGGACCAGGGACTGGGTGGCCATTTGGGAAGACCCCCATGTGGGTGGGCTTGGGTCTGGTTCTGGAAGATGCCAGGCAGATTTAGATTTCTCAGCTTTGCTCTGTTCCAGTTTTCTAGCTATTATATGGGCTAATACTTCTTTAGCTACTTCAGAGGTGTACTGTAAATACCCAGTGTTAGATACAGAATTTTGAAAACATTAAATAACTGGTTGGCTTTATACTACTGGTAGTAATAAGTACTATGATTGAAGCTGTTACTATTACTACTCTTGAATATGTCTGATAAATAGCAAAGGATTACTTGCGTCTAATATTGAATGTGGAAAAGTAATGAAAACGGATCACTAATGGAGGAGATTAAAAGACTGCTTCTTTGAGATCTGATGGATGAGTATCTAGGGTTACTCTGAAGGTAATCTGGATGATGGCTAGAGATGGTCTGAAGGATTAGCTCATTTTGATAACTAATTTTTTCCTTTTTAAAAACTTACTTATTCTTTGGGAGGTAGACAGCTGCTATCTGCTTGTTGTTTCCCCAAATGCTTCCCCATGTGGGAAGCAGGAGCTAATAACTTGAGTTACCCCTTGCTGCCTGCCAGGGTGCGCATTAGCAGGACGCTGGCATCAGGAGTGGAGCCAGGACTCAAAGCCATGCACTCCAATGTGGGATGCGCGTGTCCCAGGCAGTGTGTTAATTATGCCAAGGCGTGCCCCCCATGGCTGTGTCTTAGTGGTTGAAGTTGACCCTGTTCCTACTCAGAACCAGTACTTCATTACCTTGAACTCAATTTGTGATCTGTTTTTTGCACTCTAAGGCTCTTTTCACACTTGTGTTAAGTATCCAGTCAATCTCACTGGCAGCAATAAGCTGACATTTACGGGGCACTTACATTTGTGTCAGTTGTCTTTCTGTCTTACATTATGGTCACATTCACTCTTGCCAACAACTCTTAGAAGCAGATACCTTTATACCCATTTTACAAAGCAAGAACCCAATCTCATCTCTGTGTGAAAATCAGAATCATCAGGGATGGGCTGTTAAAACACAGATTGTGTTGGTCTAGTTGTTAAAGACATTGATCAGGTGCCTGCACCTCATATCTGAGAACCTCAGTTCAAGTCCTGGGTCCACTCTGGACTCCAGCTTTCTGTTAACACAGGTCCTGGCGGGCAGGTCACTTCCTACCTGTGTGTGAGACCTGGACTGAGTTCTCAGCTTCAGCCACAGTGAGGAGCCTGTGCAGGCATCTGGGTGGTGGTGCTGTTGGTGGTGGTGGTGAAGTCTCTCTACTTCTCTAATAAATAAAACTAAACAAAGACAAAGCAGCTTGATGGGCCTTCCTGCAGGGTTTGTGACTCAGGAACTCTATGGTAGCCTGAGTTTAACTGTGTGCCCAGATGATGTTGGTGCTGCTGGTGCAGAGAACACACTTAGAGACACACCGGCTTAGAAATGAGAGGTAATTTATTCGGGGTCATAGGACAGGTGAGAAGGAAAGTTAGAACTCAAGCCAGGTATGTAGGACTTTAAAGTTCATGTTTGTTTTTTTTTCCCTAAGATTTATTTTTATTGCAAAGTTAGATATATAGAGAGTGGAGGAGAGATAGAGAGAAATATCTTCCATCTGATGATTCACTCCCCAAATGACTGCAATAGCCGGAGCTGCGCCAATCCGAAGCCAGGAGCCAGGAGCTCTTCTGGGTCTCCCATGCGGGTGCAGAGTGGTACCACTTGTAAGAGGCAATTCCAGTTTGCTGTTATTGACAGTATCAATGGCTTTTGGTCCTGCCTGTTTTTCTTCTTCCTAATGAGGCAACTGGTTCCTCTAGAAGGTATCTTGTCTCACTATGATGGTGTGAAGAATTGTATTCAAATCATAGTCTCAAGAAAACTGGGGTGACAGAGGATTTTCCTGGGCTGTGCCTATGCTGGAGTGACTTCAGGCACCATACTCCAGTCCCAGAGCCCTCACTCACCTGCCTGCTCTATGTGTGGGGGCTGTGGGAATAGAAACAATAATGGGATACTTAAATGTTTGTAGAGTTGGCAAAGAACAAGGACTCTCAAGACATCTGTGCCTTTATTCAATAACAATTTCTTTGCGTATGTTTTTTGCAGATTAAAGGCCTGCCTGAAGGCTTTGCTCATCCCAAAATAGGGTCGAACTATTCAGTGATGACAGTAGAGAAGACGTGGAAAGCTCTGCAGGATTTCAAGGAGGGCAACGCCATCTTTACCTTCCCTAACACTCCCGTGAAGTGTGCTGGAGCTCCCCAGAAGATCATGTATTTATCGGAAGCCTATTTTAGGAAGGTATGTCTGCTTTCCAGGGACAAGGATGTGGCGACAGTACAGAGATGGTGATGGCTAGCATTTAATTTTTATCTCTACCATAAATTTTGTTTTATTTCTAGAACTTTATTATTATGTGGGCATAAAACTATACAACTTGAAGTTTATAAAATAGAAAAAAAGGAAGAAGTGAGTCAGGATTCGATAGCTTTGGTAAAACTGATGTCATGAATTTGATATGTCCTTGCAGGTTTTTCCCTACAGACTTAAAGAACAGAGGTTATAATCACACTGAACCTGCCCACTTGAAAACATTACATATTGTTAAAATTATTAAGATTATTTATTTGAGAGGCAGAATGAGAGAAGAGAGACCTCCCCCCCACTGGCTCACTTCTCACATTCCTGCAACCATGCCGGGAGGTGGGAACTCTGGCCGTGTCTCTCATGTGGGTGCTGGAGCCCCAACTACTTGAGCACATCACTGCTTCCGAGGGTCTTCACTGGCAGGAAACTGGAGCTGAAGATAGGACTCAAACTCAAGACTCTGATCAGCCTGGCCTCTTAATTGCTATGCCAAATGCCTATCTCTGGGTCATACTTCTGAATATGTATAAAAGAATACTGTGGAGATATGTTAGAGATTGTTTAAATATTCTCATGTGTTAGGCAATTAATTATAAATTGTTCATTTTTATTCATAATGACATCTTCAACTGCTTCCATTCAACTTCAAGGTTATGGATATTCTCTGGCTGTTGATGTGCTTCTGCAAATGTCATAGGAAAAATGTAGATTTAAAACTGACCTGGAGATGAGCAGGTATTTGCTCCAATGTTTGGGGTGCCTGCTTCTCATAGAAAAGGGCCTGGGTTCAAGACCCTGCTGTGCTTCAATTTCCAGATGGTTGGTAGTGCACAAACTGAGAAGCAGCCCATTATGACCCAATTGTTTGGGTCCTTGCTACCTAGCTGAGAGACCTGAGTTGAGTTCTGGGTTCCTGGATTCTTTTTTTTTTTTATTGTAAAGTCAGATATGCAGAGAGGAGAAGTGACAGAGATGAAGATTTTCTGTCCATTGATTCACTCCCCAAGTGGTCCCAGTGGCCAGAGCAATGCTCATCCCGAGCAAGGAGCCTAGAGCCTCTTCTAGGTCTTTGGATCTTACATGTGGGTGCAGGGTCTCAAGGCTTTGGGCTGTCCTTGACTTCTTTCCCAGGCCACAAGCAGGGAGCTGGATGGGAAGCGGGGCTGCCAGGATTAGAACCAGCACCCATATGGGATCCTAGTGCAGACAAGGTGAGGACTTTTAACCACTAGGCTGCTGTGCAAGGCTGATAGGAACTGGTCCAGCTAGAGCTATTGCAGGCCTTGAGAGAGTGACATAGCAGATGGAAAATCTTTCTCCGTCTCTCTGCCTTTTAAATAAAATGAAAATAAATACTCATAAAAACTCAAATACCATCCACATGGAACTTCTAACTTTGTAGAAAGGGGTTTTGGGCAGGGGACACTTTCTCCGCATTTCCAAACACCCTCTGTGGAATAGCAGGTGCCTGTGGCTCAAGGATGCCTGGTGTGAGGTCAGAGGGAAGCTGTTCCTGCCCTCTCATCTCTGAGTGGGACAATTGTCTTGAGTTGCTGACAAGTTGCAGAGCAGCCAGCGATGATGTAAAGGGCTCAGGGGACAGCATGGCAAAGACAAGCCTGCAGCGTTGTAGAATGTGTGCTTGGAACCCAGCCCCACGCCTGGCTTCCCTCCGTCTTCTGCCAACTGCTCTGACCCAGGGAGTGGCCAGTTAGGGGACAGTTCCAGCAGCTTTTTTGATTCTAAGAACATTCAGTGTGGCAGTGGGGACTGGTGCAACCTTTTCAGGTTCTTAGCCACCTGTCTGCTTCTGGTGATCAGGTCCAGGTGAGTGAGTCACGAAAGGAGTTGAACACAAGGGAGAGTTGGACCGTGGCTGCCTCTTCCAGCTGGCAGATTCCCTCTGCTTCAGTTTCTGCTAAGTCTCGGACTGCCTGAGAGGGAGTTTTTCTTTCACTGTGAGATCTGAGGCATCTGAGAGAGGCGGCACTTCTCTGAGATGTGTGAACAATATCAAGGGACTTTGCTTTGTTCCCTGCTGTGCCCTCAGAGTCTAGAGCAGCACCTGACCAACTCTAGAACTTCAATAATTGTTCACTGAATGAGTGAATGCATGGAAAAATGAACAATTCAGTTCTCATTTTTATTTAAATATGCATCTTACCATTTAAAAATGTTTATTTTTATTGGAAAGGCAGATTTCTGGAGAGAAGGAGGGATGGAGAAAAAGATCTTCCTTCCCAGTGGTTCACTTCATGAGTGGCCGCAATGGTTGGAGCTGAGCTGATCCAAATCCAGGAGCCAGGAGCAGCTTCTGGGTCTCCTACAGGGCCCCAAGGACTTGAGCTGTCCTCTGCTGCTTTCCCAGGCGGGGAACTGAATTGGAAGTGGAGTAGCCAGGACTTGAACCGGTGCCCCTGTGTGATGCCAGTGCTAGCAGATGGAGGATTAGCCTGTTGAGCCACATTGCTGGTTGCACAGTTCATTTCTATTCTAGCTTTACTTGGACTTGATCTTCACCTCTAGCCTCAGCCAAGCAGTCCCCAGCTCAAGTGTGAACTGTCTCATGGGCTGAGAGTAAGAACAAGACAGTAAATTGGTCCACCTCACTCCACCAGGGTAAAGTGATGGAAAACTTGGGAAAGTCTTTGAAGTCTCCCTTGAACATTTTAATTCTTGTTCAGTTTTCTTTTATTAAGACAGCTGGACTAATGCTTTAATGTTAATTGTTTCTCTTTTGTTTTTCTTAGACAGGAAAGCGATCCAAGGCCAATATCATTTTCAACACATCTCTTGGAGCCATCTTTGGGGTTAAGAAGTACGCAGAAGCCCTGCAGGAGATTATCGAGGAGAGAGACCTGACCATTAACTACAAGCAGAACCTCATTGAAGTCCGAGCTGATAAACAAGAGGCTGTGTTTGAGAACCTGGACAAACCTGGAGACACCCAAGTGTTTTCAGTGAGTAGCAAGGTTAAGCCGTCAACCTGGGAACCATCATCTGCTGAGCTGAGCTTAGATGCAGGTGGCTCTGTGGCTGTTGTGCCCTGGTCCTTCACTGTTGTGTGCTGCAGGAGGCCACTAAAGTGAGCCTCTTAGGGCAGAGGCAGGACAGGGAGCTGGACCAAAATAGGTGTGAAAGAGAAGGCTTTAAGAGGCTGTGTTAGTGGGAGGGAATGAGGGCTTTGCTACTGGTGTCAAATGGATTTTTGTGACTAAGTCACTTGAAGCTTACAAATCTACAAATTTGGTTACTGCTTAGGCAGTTAAGGGAAGACATCCTCAAACCCACATTATCCTGTGATTGCCACAATTTGTGGCATGTGGGAAACAGCCCTGCTCACGAGTGGGAAGCAATCTTGTGGGACATTCAAGCATAACAAGGATGTGGAAGATGAGGTTTTTAAACATTTCTCTTCTTATGAAGGGATATACTTAAGCATCTGTTATTTGAGACTGAGCTAGAGCAAGAGTGCAGGAGCGCACTAGGGTATTTCCATCCTCTGGTTCATCCCCCAAATGCCATAACAGCAAGGAGTAGGTCAGGCTGAAGCTAGAAGCTGTTAATGCTTGTCTCCCACATGGGTGTCAGGGATCCAAGTCCATGAGCCATCACTTATTGCCTTCCAGGATGTGAATTAGCTGGAAGGAAGAATTGGTAACCAGAGTTAGGACGCAAACCCAGGCATTTCAATCTGGATGCAGATGTCCTAGTGGTGGTTTAACCACCACTCAAATTCCTGTCCCTTAAACATCCTTCTTGAAGTATCTGGCAGAGTGACCACAATTCTTGGAGAAACTTATGCTTTGTGGTATGGACTTGGCCTGTATGTCTATTATTTACCTCCCTCCCTCCCTCTCTCCCTTCCTTCTTTTATGTCATTAAGATTTATTATTTAGGGCCTGGCACGGTAGTCTATTGGCTGAGGTTATTGGCTTGCATCCGCTGGGATTCCCTGTGGGTGCCAGTTCATATCCCACTGCTCCATTTCCCATCCAGCTCCCTGCTTAAGGCCTGGAAGAGCAGCGGAGAATGACCCAAAGCCTTGGGACTCTGTACACACGTGGGAGTCCCTGAGGAAGCTCCTGGCTTCAGACTGACTCAGCTCTGCACCAGCTGAGATCTTTCTCTCTGCCTCTCCTTTTCTCTGTAAAATCTGACTTTCCAATAAAAATAAATAAAATCTTTTAAAAAAGATTTCTTATTTATTTGGAAGGCAGTTACAGAGATTGGGTGGGGGTGGGGAGACGGACTGAGAGTGAGACATAGAATTGATCTTTCACCTGTTTACTTCCCAAATGGTTGCAAATGCTGGGGTTGGGATTTGGGGGCCAGGCTGAAGCCAGGAGCCAAAAACTCCATGCAAGTCTCCCATATGGGTGATGGGGGCACACCACCATCTTTCTGAGGTACATTAGCAGAGAGCTGGACTGGAAGTGAACATGGGCTCACATGGAAGATAGGCATTGCAGGTGGTAGCTTAACCTGAGGCATCACAGTGCTGGTCCCAGAATGTGTCTTAGTTTTTTCTATGAAATGCAGCCAGTGGTTTTATACAGGTGTGCTGAGGATTGGGCAAAAGAAGTAAAGGCATCTGGAAAAGCAGGAGTGAAAGAACACTTGTTTCCACTTCTCCGGCAAGCACCGTTAGCAATGAGAAAGACTGAACATTTTAATCATTCAACATTTCTCTAGGAATGAAGGGCTACATAAAAAAGAAGTTTGAGGTGAACCAAGGATTAATACTCTAAACACCAAGACTTCACATTTTAAGCCTTTCAGCTTAAGCTACAATTCCAAGATTCATTGCATACATCTTTCTTTCTCTAAATGGTGTGTATTGAATATCACTCAAAATGTTACTGATGACTTAGAGTCATAATTTTAAGAGACTTTTATTTGGAAGTATTGCAGACTTGGAGAAGTTGGAAAAATGAAAGTAGAAAGGAAGTTGCATATAGCATTTACCTAGATGTACTTACATAATTTTATATCATTTGATTTAGCTTTATCATTTGATCTGTGTAGTTCTATATCATCTTCATCATCTGTTTCTGTCTAGATGACATATTTCATGTTCTTTTGCCTCTAAATACTTTAGTGTGAATTTCCTATCATAAAAGTAGTATTTTTGATGTAATCACAGTATCTGTCAACTCTGTAAATTCAGCAGGCTATAGCATTTTGACTTTTACTTGTATTCCACTTTCATTGATTGGCCCCATAGCACAGTATTCTCCGCACTATAGTATAGGTCCCTGTCTATTTTATGTAGTCATACTTTGCATTTAATTGTGATATCTCTCTCTTTTTAAAGATTTATTTTAGTTTTGTTTGAAAGTCAGAGTTAATAGAGATGAGGAGAGACATGAAGAGAGATCTTCTATAAACTGGTTGGCTGGTTCACTACTCAGGGGGCCACAATGGCCAGAGCTAGGCCAGTTTGAAGCCAGGAGCCAGGAGCTTCTTCTGGGTCTTCTACATGGGTGCAGGGTCATCGCCCACTACTTTCCAGGCCGTTATCAGGGAGCTAGATTAGAAGTGGGGCAGCTGGGGCATGAACTAGCATCCACATGGGATGCTGGTAGAACAGGCAGAAGCTTAGTGTGCTATACCTTGCTGCCAGTCCCAATTGTGATATATCTTTTGTCTCCTTTGACATGGAAGAGTTCCACAACCTTTCTCTGCCTTCTTTAATACTGACATTTTATAATAATACAGTCCTTTACCACATCTGTTATAAAGTCTTCTTGGTTTTGGGTTAGTAAATTTTTGTTTTAAATAGATTTATTAAAAATTTTTAATTGGAAAGGCATATCCACAGAGAGGAGAAGATACGGAGAGAAATATCTTCCATCTGCTGGCTCACTTCCCAAGTGGTCGCAATGACCCGAGCTGAGCCGATCTGAAGCCAGCAGGAGCTTGCTCTACTGGCCATCTTTTGCTGCTTTCCCAGTCCACAAGCAGGCAGCTGCATAGGAAGTGGAGCAGCTGGGACACGAACTGGTGCCCATATGGGGTCCTGATGTGTGCAAGGTGAGGAGTTAGTCACTGAGTCATCATGCCAGGCCCTGTATGGTATCACATTTGTAAGCACACCATGATATAATTTTTATCATCAGTCAAGATCTGATCCAAGTTTTTCACTGAATAATTATTTTTCTTTTTCTCCCTTGCTGCTAATAATAAGTCTGTAGGGGAAGATGCTAAGACCGTGCAAACACGTTACTCATTGAAGTCTCTCCCTAGAGTTAACATGTATTGGTAATTCTTGTCTAATCCTTATACCACATTGGTTGCAGAATGATAATTTTCTAAGTTTAGCATTCCTTCTACATTTATGAATAGGTTCCTGACTTGCATTAATTAATTAATTAAATCCTGATATGAACCAAGGAATTCCTGTTTTTCCCCCAGTGGTTTATCATCTGTCATTGTCTCTGGTGCCCACATTGTCCCATGTTCAGTCAATTGGAGCCTTCCCTGCTGGCTCCTCTGTCCCTGTAGCATCCTTTCCATCCTGTTTTTGAGAACTTTCTTACTCTCTGGTGTCACAGGATGTCCTAGGCCCATCTGGTATTTACCTATCCCAATTCAGGGTCATCCTTGTGAATAGCTCTTATGTTCTCGGAACCTACCTGGTCATTTAGAGCTGATGACTGCTTTGTGTTCTTTACGTGGATTTTCAGTTTTTTTTTCCTGGTGTCTAAGTGAGTTTTAAAATTGCTAGTCCTAATTTTTTTATTGTCAAAAAATAAGAGAGTCAAACTTGTTAGATTTTATATAAAGTAAAAGGAAATGGGTGGTGAGGGAGGGCCCAAAGAATACGTTTATGAGCCCAAGTGCACAAGGTTGAGTGCATGAACTTCACTTTACTATTTGGTCTTTTTTTACTGTGGTTCTCAGCTGTGCTCTGAATAGTTGAGTTTGTAGCTAGGGACTTGGGTAAATGGATGGTTATTGTTGTTCTAAATGGTTTGTAAAGAACCTTTCAATTATGGGATTCCATTATTGAAGGTTATTGCAGGTCGGACATTCTTTCAATTTCACTTTCATAAATCTGGATTTCATAAGAAACTACCCAAAGGGTTTCAAATAGTGGCTTTCAACCCTCACTGTTCTGGAATCTACCTCAGGAGCTTCAAAACTGGTGTTGATGCCTGGGTCATACCCCAAGAGACTTTGATTAATTGGCCTGAGGTGAAGACTGGATTGGGAGGCTTCCAAAAGTCCCCTAATGATTCTAATATTGAGCCAGTATTGATAACAGCTACTGTAAAGAATTAAATGTATCCTAGTCTATAATCTTGAATTCTGGATAGAGAGCTGGCAGTTCAGGCCTCTTTTGATGTATACCATAGGGTCTTAGAACTAAAAGGGACCTTGGACATTATCTAGTCTGTTGCATTTTTTTATGGATAAGCAAAGCAAAGACCCAAGAAGTGAAGTGGCATGTCATGGTCGAGGAGGCCGACCCACATGGTTTTTTTCAAGTCCAGATTTCTGTTCTCCCGGTCCTATAGGATTGGGATCTTGGGGTGAGGGGACCCAGAGTCTTGTATTGTCAACAAGTCTCCCAAATAACTGCTTATTAACAGCAAAGTCTTAAAGCCACTGTTCTGAATAGACTATTTATGCTAATGGAGGAGAATCAAGTTGAGAATATATAGTTGATATAAATTAATCATAGAGAAACTAGTTGCTGAAAATTAATCATAGATTGACTTTCACACTTGATCTTAGCCAAAAGGCCGAGAAGCGATCATAGATTGACTTTCAAATAAATAATCCTTTAAAACAAAAAGAAAATAAGTCATAAAGAATAAGCTACAACTAAATGATGTTAATTATTAATCCATAAAGGAAACTAGTATTTCTTTTGTGTAGGAGGTTAGTTCAGTGCCTTTATGACTGAGAACATATTTTAACTTTTATTTAAGAATTCTTCTTAAAAATATTTTCTAATATTTATTTCTTTGTTTTAAAACCATAATACAGACACACACACACACACACACACACACACACACACACACACACACACAAACACACACAGACAGGAAGACATTCTATCCTTTTGTGCATTCTCCAAATGGTTGTAATGGCTGGAGGCTCTGTCTGACTGAAGCCAACAGTGTTGAGCTTCTTCTAGGTCTTCCATGTGGGTGCAGGAGTCCAAACACTTGGGCCATTGTCCGCTGCTTTCCCAGGCCATTAGCAGCATGCTAGATTGAAAGTGGAACAGCCAGGACTTGAACTGGTACTGCTATGGGATGCGAACGTTGCATGTAGAGGCTTTACCTGATATGTGACTACATAGGCCCCTTTAATGTTTCTTCTAGAATAGATGAATCGCTTGTATATTTGTGAGATTCAAGCAAACACATTAATTCCATCAAACACATAGAGATCCAATATGGTTTAGATCTCACTTCAAAAAAGGAGCTCTGGTTGACTATAGAAATGAAGGTTTGGTCTTGATAATATGGTGAATGAAGTTTATTGGCTCTTTCATCCATCATCTTGTGGACAACAGACGGGCTCAGAGCCTATACCCCTAAAAGGGTCGTCCAAGATTATCTTGTCTTGAGGTTTATTAAATTCATGATTTTCTAAGAATATGCCATCTTCCTAATCCCCCTGCCATAAATGAATACAGAGCTCTGATGAGAGCATAGGCCTTCTTGTGGAATCAGGAACTAGGCTCTTGGAAGTTTGCAGTTTTCTTGATAAAGTTTTTACCCTATTGAAATGTTATGTAAATGTTTGAGTCAAGGTGGCTTGAAGCGGACCTGGTAGAATGTTGAAGTTTGCCAGATGGAATTCATTAAAGTTAAATAAAAATAATGGGTTAGGAGAACTCTAAGAATATCATGTACACAAACAAAAAAGTTAAATCAGCTATCAAAAATGACTAGAGTGAGTCAGTGAACTGTTACCAAGAGTCACTTGAAGATAGCAGTTGGAAAGAAAAATAATCCCCTCACTCCTTCTGCTCATAAACCCAACACTGATCTGGACCCCTCTGTCCTCCAGAGAGCCAGCTAATCTCCCCATTACCCCACTTTTCTCCTGCAGTTGGTAACTTGACGATGTCCTTTGTGTGCTTTGAGATTAGACCTGTATTTGGGAATGATGTTCATCACTCCTCAGTTCCTAACATGGCCTTTCTAAGCTTCACCTCCCTCCGGAGTACAGCTGAAGTGCAGGTTGACAGCTGAGGGTCAGGGTCAGAATAGCCGAAGCACACCAACCCCTTGGTTTTTAGCAATGACAGAAACACCAGTAGATTCCTTTAGGTCACTAGTGTGCTCTATTGCAGTAGCCCAGACTTCCCCAAGCCTGCTGTGGAAGGGGGGCACATGGGGAGACTGCCAGCTGACAGAGTGACTATTACATTATCACTTCCTGGCACTGGCACCATGACTCAACAGGCTAATCCTCCACTCTGTGGTGCTGGAATCCCATATGGGCGCTGGTTCAAGTCCCAGCTCCTTCACATCTGATCCAGTTCTTTGCTTATAACCTGGGAAAGCAGCAGAAAATGTTCTACATCCTTGGGACCCTGTGCCCATGTGGGAGATCTGGAAGAAGCTCTTGACTTACATTTGAATCAGCTCAGCTCTGGGTGTTGTGGCCATTTGGGGGACTAAACTAGCAGATGGAAGATTTTCTTTTCCTTTTGTTCCTTCTCTGTGTAAATCTGCCTTTAAAATAAAAATAAATCTACCAAAAAATGATCATATTCTCTGAAGGAACAGATCTTGGAGGAGAGGGCTAATGCAGATACTAACTGAATAATCCTTCATGTAACCCTAATTCAGTGTATTGAGGAAGGTTGGGGAAGAGCCTTGGAGCCCTAGAAATAGTGAATGAAACCCAAACTTGGACGCTTTTCTTGGCAGTATGAAATGCTCCATGTCACACCACCAATGAGCCCACCAGATGTCCTCAAGACGAGCCCTGTGGCTGATGCTGCGGGCTGGGTGGATGTGGACAAAGAAACTCTGCAGCACAAGAAATACCCGAATGTGTTTGGGATTGGGGACTGCACCAACCTGCCCACGTCGAAGACCGCCGCAGCAGTCGGTGAGCCAGCCTACTCTATTTTCTTCCTTTCTCCAAGTGCCATCTCAGTAAGTCTCTGTGGTAACACACAGCACTGCACTAGTAGTGAAAAACCTTTTGTGACCCCAAAATGCAGCAAGAGGCAGGCTGTCAATGATGCTGATGTTGCAGGAAGTACAAAGTGGCTTCCAAGCCCACTGCCCTAGAGTCGCCTGAGCTCATTTGCTTTTTAGAGGTGAGCAGTGCTGTGTTTTTCGGGGGAGGGGCATTAGTGGGAGGGCATCACTTGTCCAGCTCCCTGAATTCCATTACTTCCCATGACATCATACCCATAATCCTGGAATAGTTTTGCAAGTTGGCCACTTTTCTTCAGCTCGAAACACCATAAATCTTGGGAAGCATTTGTTTCCTCTGAAAACAGATACATGCAAGTCAATGAAAGCTTATAGAGCAGAAAATTGTTCTGGTAAGGCAAATACAGTGGAGCTTGCCCTGATTGGTACATGATTAAGGCCTCTGTCTGGAAAATTAAATTCTTCACCACCGTGTTCTACATTAGCAGTGATGGGAAGAATTACCTTTTAGATTCTGTCCTCCCAGACAGGAACTGTGCTCTCTGGGTGCCGTAAAACGTGCAGTGTCCACCTGATGGGAATGGTAGTTTCTGCGTGAATTAGATGTCTGCAGAACTTGCTTGACCTTGGAAGACTGTTTTCAATATTCACTGAAGGTCTTTTCCGTTACTAATTAGTAATTTTCTCCCATTTTTAACTGTCAAAAATCTCAGACCCATATACAAATGTAAAAGTACAATGAATAATTATATACACTCTAGATATTAATCAGTAACTAATATTTTGTGACATTTGCTTCTTTATACATGTTTTGAATTATTTCAAATAAGTTTGGATATCATGACATATCATCTTTAGTAAATACTTCAATCTGCATTTCCTTATAAAAAGGACATTCTCCTCCATAAATACAAGGCCAACTGTCACATCCAAGAAAGTTGTCATTATATAAGATCATGTCTTACACAAGTTAGTTTAAGTTTATCTAGTTTTCCTAGAAATTCTGTTTGCAGCTTTTGTTTTCCCTTGATTCTGCTCATCATGTTGGTTGCCGTGTCTGTTTGGCCTTTAATCTAGAGGAAGCCCTTCTGAAATTGTTTAGAACCTTCATGACATGGGCAATTTTGAAGAGTTCGGACTGGTCATCTTCAAAATATAGACTATCCTATACTGTAGGATTTATGGTTAGATTCAGAGTCTGTGTTTTGGTCTGAATCTCCATACATGGTGCTGTACCTTCTGCTATATAACCTTATGAGGCCATGATGTTAGCTTGGTATTTTTAAGAACATTTATTTACTTGGAGAGAGAGAAATAGAAATTTCACATCTACTGGTTCACTCCCCAAATACTTGCAATAGCCATGGCTATGTCAGACTGAAGGCAGGAGCCAGGAGGCAGGAGCTAGCTTAATTTAGGTTTTCCACATGGGGGTCAGGGATCTAACTACCTGGCCATTGGTTATCTGCTGTCTCCCCAGGTGGACATTAAGAAGAAACTGAAGTTGGGAGTGGAGCTGCAACTCCAACCCAGGCTCTGTGGCAATTGGATATAGGTGTCCCAAGTGGTGTCTGAACCATTATGCCAAATGCCTGTCCCAGTTTGGTCTTTGTCATTACTGGCTAAGGGTTGTCAGTTGTCAATCTTTTCCTTTGTCAAAATATCTGCTTGTATAATTATGGGTGGTATGTGGGATAAAATTTTGAATTTACATGCTGCCTTTAATGTGGTAAAAATGTCCATGATGTAAGACTCAGGTTACCCAACTTTCTAGCCTGTTTCAAATAAGCAAAATATTTTATCCAGAGTTTCAAATGGATAATACTGAATGTTAGACAAAAAGTCTACACGAAAAACCTTGTTCCTGCCTGGTCAGCTTCCACTGCTCCCAGCCACACAGAGTGTCCTGTTCCATGTGCCTCTGCATGCTTTCACGTTCGTGTGCTATTGTACTGCTGCTCCGGAGTTTACTGAAGGAGTCTCTTCTGCAGTCTGTCTCTTTCCCAAACTGTTCCATTGGGGAATGCTCCTCCTTGGCATTTCACGCATGTGAGTGAATGTCTCTTTGCTCTTCTTAATTTGTCACTAACAATAGTTCACGATTTCTCCAAAGAGTTCTATATCTCTCATTAAATTCCCAACTTTAAATCCTCTTATGATTGCCGGGCAATGCTTATGTTTGTTCAATCCACAAGTCCCATCTTGGGTTTCCTTACTCCCCAGCCTCCTCCAGACCCACTGTACTGTAGAGAACAAGACCATCTTGCTGAGTTGTAAGTGGCTTTCCCGGGGCAAATGCCTCCCCCTGCCTCTTTCTGCTCCAGGATTCTCCCTTAGTTATCTTCAGTACAGCTAAGACTGGATGTGGTATTTAAACCAAAGTTAACTGGAGGTTTTACCATAAAAGGAGGTGGGCTTTTAATATAGGAAAATGCACAGCTTATGTATGCCTGTACACACACACACACACACACACACACACACACACACACACACACACACACACACACACACACACACACTCTTTCTCTCTCTCTCTTTCCTTCTCTTCTCATTCTCTCTCTCTCTCTCACGTCCCCCACTCTCTCTTCTTCTCATTCTCTCTCTCACACACACACAAACACACACACTCTCTTTCCTTCTCTTCTCATTCTCTCTCTCTCTCTCTCTCACACACACACACACACACACACTCTTTCCTTCTCTTCTCATTCTCTCTCTCTCTCTCACCCCCCACTCTCTCTTCTCATTCTCTCTCTCTCTCTCTCTCTCTCTCTCTCTCTCTCACACACACACACACACATGCACGGCCTGGAGTGAGACTGCTCCCTGTGTTCACAGGCCAAGCCTCCCTGCCGAGAATGTTGGCCTTGACTTCTGCTGCTGAGGCCTCTCTAGTTGTTCTCAGTGCAGATTCTGAATGCTCTATGGTCCTCAAAACAGGATAACAGCTTCTGAAAGGGATGTGATGTTTAGAAATGCAGCTTTGCTTATGATGGAGATAAGTCAAGCAGAGAGGTTTACTTTTCAGTTTTTTAAAAAGGGGTTTGCTTGCTTATTTGAAAGGTAGAACAACAGAGAGAGAGAGAGAGAGAGAGAGAGAAAACCATCCACTTGTTCCTTCAGTGGGCTATAACTGTCAGGTCAGGTCTGGGCTGGGATGAATCCAGGAGCCAGGAACTCCCTCCTTGTCTCCCAAATACTTGGGCCATTCTCTGCTGCCTTCCCAGGCATATTAGCAGGGAGTTGGATCTGCAGTGGAGTAGCTGGGGCCTGAAACCCCCCACTCTGATACATCAATATCATAAGCGGTGGTTTAATCTGTTGCACTGCAACACTGTCTCCCCAACTCACCTATACCCTTCCTTCTCCATTGCATTTTTTAGTTGAGTGTCAATAGATTGAAACTTGTAGGCCAAAGATAGCACACTGCTGGTTTTTATACAGTTTCTGAGAATGAATATTTGTAATCAGTTTGATGTCAAGAAGCATTACATCTTAAGAATTCCATTCTCCCATTTGTAGGCATATGATATCATATTTTTAATTTTATCAATAAGAGTTTTCATGGAAAACTTTTTTTCCCTATGTGTTATATAATGTCTAGTGGTTCTGCTTCTTAGCCTGCAAAGTTTCCTTAAAAATGTTTGGTGCCCTTTGATTTGGGCAATTATAAAATAGCCACATGAATGAGCATTTTTATTTTACAATGTACAGGGAGCCCATCTTCTTTCAAAGTAAATCCAGCCTTCTATTTCTGGAGACATAAATTGCTTCTGTCTTTAAATGTACAATTTTAATTATTCAGAATTGAATCCTGGGATTAGGAGACAGGGATTAGGAGATATTGAGGGTTTATTGCTAATATTTTGAGGAGTGAAAATGCTATTGTATTTGCATTGGAAAAACTCTGCACCTAGCATAGAGTCACATAGCAACATTTACAGATAAATTACTATGTTGCTGCTCCAAAAATCCTTCAGAAAAAAAGTGGCCTGTGTGGGGTGATGGAGGAAATGAGAACAGGAATTGAATATTCATAATAAAAAAATCAGTCTGTCCATTCTGTCAAAAAATGGAAATGTGTGTGTGAGAGAGAAACAGAAACTGTAGATGGATACATACACAGACATATTTCTCTCTCTCTCTGGTCCAGCCTCAGCCAGGGCCATGCGGTGCAGGGAAAAGCCCAATGTTCTACCTGGATACAACCAGTGACTAGTGATCTGCCGTGTGAACAGGGATGCAGGGCTTCCTGAATGGCCAGGGGGTGCTGGGCACACAGTCCAAACTGTCAGCCAGCCAAGACCAGAAGGAGGTGCACTGGAGTTGGAGTTAGGAACATCCTTGTAGTCCTGCTGGAGAAAGTTGACTGTTTAAACTTGGGGCTTGGATGAAGAGAAAGAAGCCCTTCAGGTAGACACAACTGCAGGTGGTAAGAAGTCTGGTTCTAGTCACAATCTAGAGGGGTGAGGAACGGAATCTTCTTGTTGCCACTAAGGTGATTTGCATATGAGATTTTGTGGGGAACCTGGATGCTCATACTTACCTGGCTTATTCTTTTCTCCTTTAGCTGCACAGTCGGGAATACTTGACAAAACAATCTCTCTGGTAATGAAGAACCAAACACCAAGGAAGAAGGTCTGTATGCCTCATGAGAATCTCAGCTGTCACCTTCCATCCATTTAAAAGTAGTGTTTCCCCACAGTCCTGCCACCCTCTTAGTTTCCCCAGTACAGTCGCTTCCATTTTTGCCTTTGGGACTATTCTTTGATGTAAAATCTGTATTTTTCACAGTACAAAAAAAATTAGAAATATATATACCAAAATTTAAAAATACAAAATTTTAAAATGTTTTTAAGATTTAAAAAATATAAATACAGATTCCAGAGTGTCTGTGTGACAGCCCCTGTCCAGCTCAGTCTCCCTTATGGTTGTAGTATGATGGCTACACCTCGTGTCCACTGGTAACTGGCTACAACACTGTGATTCTTGCCGAGTTTGACTATGCAGCTCAGCCGCTGGAGACCTTCCCCTTCGATCAGAGCAAAGAGCGCCGTTCCATGTACCTCATGAAAGCCGATATGATGCCTTTCTTGTACTGGAACCTGATGCTGAGGTAGGTGCATCACCTGCTCCTGATGGAGGTGGTGGTGGGGGGGCTGGCTTTGTTAATGGCCCCAGCAGGTGCAGGGAGAGGGTTCCACTGAGAACTTCTAGCTTCAGGGGAAATAGCCACCTAAAGCACAACTTGCTAATAACATCTGCCTTGCTGTGCCTTGATTCGGGAGTAGTGATCATAACCCTCAGATTCTGAGGTCTCTGCAGACTGGGAAGTGGGCCACTTGTCTGAGGACACCTGCAGAGCATGCAGCTTCCTCACTGAGGGCAATGTCTTAAGTCTTCTGTGTTCTGTGCTGTCTGCTCTTTTTGTTGCTGGCTTAATAACAAAGATAATAATAATAATATTAACAATGATAACAGCATAGTAGTGGGAAATCACTTCCATAGGTCAGGTACTTTCTCATCTGCTACCTTCCTTTGTTTTTATTGTTAAGGGAGAAACCGAAGCGTAGTGATTAACACCATAATCTTTAGAGTCACTCTGGTGTCTGAATCCTGTGCCTGTCACTGATTAGCTATGTGTCTTGGGGCAAGTTGGTTAAGCTCTTTGTGCCTTCTTATCTGGAGAATCAAAGTAATATTGCCTACCTTACAATATGGAGATTAATGAAATAACAGAGGCATGGTAAGCATTCAGTAAATAAACAAGGGAAATAAAAACTCAATACAATCTCTTGTTCATTCCAAGAAATGTAATCTCATTTGATTATTATTATTTTTTTTGCAAACTCACACAAGACATGTCCGTCAAGCCACCTTTACTAATAATCTCCAACCGTGCGCGTTGTCCCTCCCCCCAAGGAGCTATTGGCAATATGTGGGGACATCTTTGAATGTCACAATTGGAGGATGCCTCTGGCATCTGGTGAGCTGAGGCTGGGAATGCCAATTAGCATCCCACGATGCATAGGGCAGCCTCCACAAGGAAGCAGGGTGTTGAACCAATGTCAGTAAGGTGAAGAACCTACAGTCCAGCGAGTGAGTGAAAGCACAGCGGATGTTTGCATGTCTTAGAGGCTTCCTTCAGCTTTGCTGCACTCAAGCAGCATATCCACATTCAAACAGTGAGTGTCAAAGCCGGGAGGGCAGGCAGGTCTACCCCTCCTCACCCTGGCGTCTCCCTACCTCGCTGGACACGTCTTACCTGACATGCTCCTAAGCATGCCCACTGAGAATTCAGGCTTCCCTCTCCCACAAACCTGCTAGCTGAAGTCACCCCAGCTCTTTTTTGCTTCAGTCATCTCTCATTTCTCACAGGGGCTACTGGGACGGACCGGCGGCTGTGCGGAAGCTTTTGCACCTGGGTATGAGTTAAGGCGGCAGGCTCAGGACCTGCTTTCCTTGGATGGAGGAGAGTCGATTGGGCAAGAGCAGCACAAAGGACTCAGTGAAGAGTTTCCTGCTGGAGAATGGTGATCGCGTGCTGACTTTTTCAGGATCTCTGAACAGCCACCATGTGGGCTGACCCAGATGTGTGTGTGTGTGTTTTTTTTTTTTTTTAATATGAAGATGAAATAATAGACTTCTCTTTTCTAAATAAAAGTGTGCACTGATTGAGTCCTGTAAAAACACTTTGTCTTGACTGGTAGGAATGTAAAGTGTTAGCACCTGGGAGAAAAAGATGGCCATGCTAGGATAGCTCACATGTTGCCTATGAAGTATTCAACTGACACGATTTCACAGGGTCTATTTGGAGTCACAGCAAAGTGTCACTCCAGGAACCCATATTGCTCATGACACATTGTGGGACACTCCTGAACTTGTGCTGCCCTGAACTCCTGCTGCAGAAGCATGGAGGCCTGAGCCCCGCTGCCACCATCCCAGCTTCACACCACCCTGCCGAGCCCATGACTGAACATGCTGAACATGGTGTGGTCCAGGTGCTGGCCCCTTTCCTTAGGCATGGAGGTGCCTCTGCTGGGTAATTTTGGTTCCCGGACTCCCCATAAACCCCTTTCTATGCTGGTAATATTGCCAGGTTTCTTTGGACTGTGCATTTTCAGCAAATTGGGGCTGGGGTTTCTGGGAATGGCTAGGGCTCCAGGTGGAGTTACTTAGAACTCCCTCTCGGGGTTAATTCAGGCGCCTGGGTCTGCTCACAGCTGAGTGTTCTGAGTTGCTTCTGGGTTCACGTGCTCTTGGGTGGAGCTTACTGCTGAGGAGGAAGCAGTGGTCTCTTCTGAGCTGGGAAAGAAAAATAAAAATGCTGAATTCCAGAAAAGCTTCAACCTTGAATCCTATCACTGTATCCACAAGGGAGAGGCCATTCCCAGGAAGTGCCTCCGTGATTAGGAGCTGCCCAGAGGAAGAGAAGGTAAGGCCACGGGATGGATAAGGGCGATATGTTTCCATGGGTGATACTAGTATGGAGTATTATATTTTAAAAATGAAAACAAGTGAAACAATTGAAAGCAAAACTCCAAGCCTGGGGGTCTTTGGCACAGATCATTAGAGAAGCCCTGTTCGAAATTACTGTTTTGGGTTCAGGCAGCCACTACCCTGGGGTCTAGAGGTGAAAACAGCTCCAGGGCTACAAACCTTGAGCAACTGATTACATTGTTTCTGTGGTTTTTCAGAAACCAGTATAACCCTTCCCTCCCTAGTCCATAAGCCTATAGCCTATGTTGAATTATCCTAATTGAGTGCATCACCATCTAGTTGCTTCTGGGTGCCCGACTGATACCAGTGACCTGAAAGTGCTGGAGAGCCACTGAGGAAATTGACAGAGAAATGACAGGAGGTTTTTATCAGTGAGTTACAAATTCCAGATGCAGTGACCAAGGTCAAGGGCAATGTCCGCTTTTCATGACTACAAGAAAATACCTGAGGGAAGCAAAGTTTACAAAGAGAAAAGGTGTATTTAGCTGATGCTTTTGAAAGTCCAAGTTCAAGATTTCATTGGCTTGGTAGTTTCATTGGCTTGGTCTTTGATAGGGATGGCAGAGAATAGGGCTCATAGCAGAAGGTAAGTCATGTGGGAATAAGTCATGTGGGTAGTGTCTGGTCACTCAACATGTACTCCATACAGCTGTTTTGACATGAACAAATTGGTGGTGAGCCACTTGGGATGAATTGCTATATCTGATGAATACCCAGCTTACAGGCTAAAGTAGTTGTAGATATTCCTTTCTGTAGGTTTACAGGAGGCCTTTGCTGTCGAAAGAATATAGGGAAAGGACCTTGGTACCTGACTAATGGCCAGCCCTAGATCACTGCCTCCACCTTGCCTGTTCTCAGGGAACATGTTTTGAAGGGGGGTGGTCGGGATAAGGGGTGAGGAGGATCCTTGGATGCTTTTCCAGTATCTTCTGGCCAGGGAAAGCAATTGTAGCTTCTCAGGGGAGAGTGGTTTGGCCTGTGGATATTGTGGATTCCTGCCAGGCTCTGCTTACGGTAGCCTGTTCAGTGTCACAGGAACTCAGTGGAGTCTGTGACGGGGCCTGTGCAATAAACAGCAGGTGGAGAGGAGGCATGAGAAAAAGTACTTCCAACTCATTCCTGGAGCCATGATTATGGACATCCCCTTCCAGGATGGGCTGTGGAAGCCTGCTGGGTCCCTGCCCTTCCTGATTTTTTTTTCCTTCTTGATTTTATAAACCATACGTAGAAGTGCCTGGTTTGCCCCACTGGAAGTAATACACACTGTGTATGTTCACCACCTGCACCTGTGTAACTGACAGGTGTGCGTGCTGAGTAAAGGAGCCCAACGTGGGAGTCCTTGCCTGCTTCTCCAAGGCAGAAACACCCCCAGTGTGCCACACGCTCTTTTGCCTTTTGCACAGTCTTGCCTGCTGAATGCACCTCTCCATTCATTCCTTCTTCAAACTCCTCCCAGGAACTAACTCAAGGTTTGAAGGACTCCTTCCCCTGTGCCCTAGCTTATCTTGAAGTCCCTCTGCATCCGGGTCCCCTTCACATCCAGCCTGGGAAAGCAGAGGGCCTTTGCTTTCCCTTCTGGAGGTGCTCTCCTAAGCGTGTATGTAAGGGAATGTAAGTGGGAGTGTCAGCCACCGCACAAAGGCATACTCTTTGATGATCTTGTTTCACTCCAGCCCCATATTTCATTATGAGGCATTTATGAACAAAGTAGTCACAAGCTGATTAACACTGATTTCTAATTTCCCTTCCAGTGTGACATGACACTTGGGAGATGATCCAGTAAATTAGCTGTGGGACTTTGTTTTCAGTACATGAGATTTAATGCATGTAAGGATAGTAGTGGGGGACTAAGCTAACTCTGCTTTAAATACAGTTATGATGGTTGCTTTCTGTGGTGGCTGTAAGGAGGGCAAGCACCATTTCCTGTAGAGGTGAATTTGCTCATCTGTGATCATAATCATCCATGAATAATATGAATAGCTACAATGGATCATGAATTTGAGGTTGACAGCTGTTAAGCGCTTTGCATTCCATTTCTTTTGGAAAGTTTGGTTGTCTAGATCAAGAGGCTGGGAAGCCACCAGCAAGTGGGAGTCACCAGAGGGCACCCCTCCATTCTCCTGTTCCTCCACTCCCCAATCCCTTGCATTGTCCTGAGCCTCACTTTTCTGTGGAGGGGAATGAGGAGGCGGGTATCTTTGATAATTGTAAAAAAAAAAAAAAAAAATCACAAGCACTCCTTCTCCCTATCTTATCCTGACTCCTTTACTTGTTTATGTTTGGAATGGGCAGCACTAGAAGTAAGGGTGAGGACATTTCTGGAAATGGACATTATGTTACATCTACTTAACAGGAAGCAAGAATTCTGAATTCAGGAGTCTTAATAAAACCTGGGGTGGTGGTCATCAGAATCAAATGGGATGAAACAGTGGAGCTATGAGGCCTCTGTGAGTTATAGCTGGCAAACCACAATGTGTATGTGTGTGTGTGTGTGTGTGTGTGTGTGTGCATGCTTGTGTGCACAGTCGCTTGCATACCTTTGCTTCTATCTTCAGGTTAGTCCTGGGTCCTCCCTTGTTCTGATGAGTTCTTCAGCTTTGTTCTCCTCTCTGTGGATGCTTGTGCAGCTCCTGTCCTTGGTATTAATTTCTCTAGCATCTCTACATGAACTTGATCTTTACAGGGCCAGAGAACTGGCCAATTGATTAAAGTGATTGCTTTCAAATCTTCATTAAGCCATTTTGCATCCTCTGATTCTCCCTACCAGAGTTTAGGCTTCTGGACGAGAAGGAAGCTTCACCATGAACCTGTGATGGGTGTGCTGGCCAGGTAGCTGCACCATCTGTGTTCCAAAACCTGATGCCACATCCCAAACAATTTCTGATGCCACATCCCAAACAATTTTTCTTTTCAAAATGCAGCTTTGCAAACCTTTCCTTGGGGAGTCTACATTGATGCGCTTGGGTTGAAGCTGGCAATCTATGTGATGTGAATTAGTGGCTCCCATCCTTATGGCATCAACCTCTGCAGCATTGAGGCTTCCCCCAGCTTGCATCATAGCTTCATGAAGTAGGGGAAGGGATTACCTATGACCCTGTTGGTTCAGGGCTGAAAGTGAACACCACAACCCTGTACCTGAATGGCATCTAAGGATGGCTTTGAGGGACTCCTCTCAGTGGGCAGAGCTGTGAGCAGGGCCTTAGCTGTTCATTTCCATAGAAAAAGGAAGAGCCTGATTCAGCTTAGATGGACTTCTGGACAGTGGTGAATGATGTGGTCAGGAGGCTAGAAGGCCCAGTATTGAATGATATGAACCCAGGCGTCTAAGCAAGAAGCTGGTGGAGGAACCCACAGGTGTGGTCTTTTTTTTTTTTTTATATACATACTCTGATATTTTATTATGAGCTGCAGTTCTTGACCCACTTTGTTGTTGCTTACATTATATTATGTAGTACAGTTTTATAGGCGCTGGGGATCCCCCCCACCCCTCCCATACCCCTCCCCCCATGGTGGATTCCTCCACCTTGTTGCATAACCATAGTTCAAGTTCAGTTGAGATTCATTGCTTGCAAACACATGCCTAGCATAAAGTTCAGCGTCTTATTGTCCAGATAAGTTCAGTGGCCTCTTGGGGAGACCTTCTATGGTCTGAAGATAGGTCTAACAGAGTAAAGATCCAGTCAGTTAAAAGCCCCAACAAGGCCTCAGTATCATTATACAACATTATGGAATTAATTGACATAGTATTGGGTAAACAATATGTTAAAAATAATGCAAGTTCCATTCTTCGAAACATCTGGGTTGAGACAGTATCAATGACAGGTTCAAAAAATAACAAACAACCAAACAAAAAATTACAGGTTAAATCAAGGCAAACATGTGGTATCTAATCTTTTGGGATTCGCTCATTTCCCTTAGCCTTATAGTTTCCAGTTGTGCCCATTTAGCCACAAAGAACTGCATTTTGTTTTTTTTAATAGCTGAGTAGTATTCCATGGAGTAGATGAACCAAAGCTTTCTTATCCAATCTTCTGCTGATGGGCATTTCGGTTGCTTCCATGTTTTCGCAATTACTGATTGTGCTGCAATGAACATAGGGATGCATGTTGGTTTGTCGTAAAACAGGTGTTTTGGATATATTCCTAGGAGTGCTATTGCTGGGTCATATGGTATGCAGATTTTGAATTGTT